GAGGTGAATCCTGTGTTCAAGGAGATAAGCTTAAGGAGTGGTGACCTCATGCTAAGTTTACTGTTTATGTGTTTGCAGTTGAATAAGAAATAGTTACACCATGTTAGGCAAATTCCCTGGTTATTGTTTTCATGTGGACTTTTAATGTGGAATGGGCTACAGTGGAGGGCACACTTATGATCCAGATCTTGAGGAATAGTGACCATAAAATGGTCCAGGCACGGTGGTTCACATCTTCAATCCCAGGAGACAAAAGCAAACAGATCTCTGAGTTCAAGGCCAACCTGGGACAGAGCAAGTTCTAGGTGAAGCAAAGCTTAAGTCCAGGCATGATGGTACCTTTAATAGCATGAGACAGGCATGCAGATCTCTGAGTTCAAGGTCAATCTACAAAGCAAGTTCCAGGACAGCCAAGCTCAGGTAATGAAGCTGAAAACTGAAAGCTGGTGATGATATAATAGAAAAAGTGGGCCATGTTCCAGCTCCTGCAAGGAACAGAACTTGGCAGCTTTAGCCATGTGGGTCTGGCTTTTTTCTTTTTTTCTTTTCTTTTCTTTTTTTTTTAGATTTTTTCCGAGACAGGGTTTCTCTGTGTAGCCCTGGCTGTCCTGGAACTCACTCTGTAGACCAGGCTGACCTCGAACTCAGAAATCTACCTGCCTCTGCCTCCCAAGTGCTGGGATTAAAGTTGTGTGCCACCACTGCCCGGCTAGTGGCTCTGGCTTTAGAGTCAAGAATAGAAGGGACAACTGGGACAATTGATGCTGGTTAGCTGGAGCTGAGAAATCAGTGGTGATTAAGAAGAGACCAGCATCACCGAGGTGAAATCTTCTGGGAAGTGTTTTCTGAGAGCACAAAGAAGCTGTGTTCCAGAGATAGCCAAGGTTGTACCTTTTGCTGCAGCTGTACTTGATAATGTGTAAGAATTGCCCAGGTGGTACTGGTTTTAAAGGTATGAAAGAGTCATGAAGAGCAACTGAGGCTTGGCACTGTGAGAGGCAGAGAAGGCCAGTGGTAAAGGTTGCATTTGTTGGCCCAGGACTGAAGGGGTCATGCAAAGAAATTGGGGCTTGGCATCAGGAAGAGAGCTTATGAGAGGCTATTGGTGAAGCCTAGTTGGAGCAGAAGACCCCAGCAAATTGGAGATGCCAGTATCATAGGATGATCACTAAGAACAGCAGCAGCCGTGGAGTGGAGTCAACCAGAGATGTCTAGAGTACTACAGAGGGCAGAGCTGGAGAAGTGAAGCCAGCCCCTTTGGAGGACCCCAGAAGACCATGTGTGGATCCCAGACATTGAAACAAGAAGCTGTATGTAACATTGCAGTTGTCTTGGAGACCCCAAGATGTTAGAGATACCAGAGCTGTGGGATACCTGCTGAGGAGAGCTGCTAACAGGGAATGGAGCCAGCTCAGGTGAAAGAATTATGCTATAGTCAACAAACCTGAAAGGAGTTGGACATCAGGCATGGAGATGCAGAATTTGGGGTTTGCCCAGTTGGTTTTTGGTCTGGCTTTGGTCCAGTGTTTCCTCATTATGAATGGTAATGTATATCCTGTGATTTGCTTATTTATTTAGTTATCTAGTTATTTAGTTATTTTGGTTTTTCTAGACAGGGTTTCTCTGTGTAGCCCTGGCTGTCCTGGAACTCACTCTGTAGACCAGGCTAGCCTCGAACTCTCAAACTCAGAAATCCACCTGCTGGGATTAAAGGCGTGCATCACCACCGCCCGGCTTTTTTGTTTGTTTGTTTGTTTTGTTTGGTATTTTGATTTTTATAGAGGATTACAGTTAAGTCATTGGATGAATCTCAGAAGAGACGTTGAACTTTGGACTTTTAACATTGTTGAGACTGCTATAGATTATGGGGACTTTGGAAGTTGGACTAAATGTATTTTTGCATTATATTATGGCTTGGTATGGTCCTCAGAGATTCATGTGTTTGAATAAACTTATAGGAGCCAGGGAGTAGAATGTGGTGGTTTGAATATGCTTGGCTCACGGAGTGGCACTATTAGGAGTGTCACAGCTTTGCTGGAGGAAGTGTGTCACTGTATAGGTGGGCTTTGGGACCCTCTTCCTAGCTGCCTGAAAACAGTAGTCTGCTCCTGGCTTCCATTGGATGAAGATGTAGGACTTTCAGCTCCTCCAGCCCCATGCCTGCCTGGATGCTGCCATGCTTCCTGCCATGATGTCAATGGACTGAACCTCTGGACCTGTAAGCCGGCCCCAGTTAAATGTTGTCCTTTACAAGACTTGCCTTGGCCATGGTGTCTGTTCACAGCAATGGAACCCCTAAGACAATATGTAATATTATAATATGGCCAAATAGCCTACTTCCTTTTTGAGATTCTTTTCCGTCCATAGGAACTTCAGACTATGGCCATAAGGTATGCCACACAGGGCTGAGAGATGGCTCAGTGGATAAGAGCATTCGTCTAATTACTTCAGTTAACAAGAGCAGTGCTGGCAAAAGAAACATCTCAAGCATAAGGAGGTTCATGATTCCCAAGTCCATCTTTGGTTTACTGGAGGGGGTTTGAGCAGGGCGAGGGAATGCATAATTATTATTATTTTATTTTTTTGGTTTTTCGAGACAGGATTTCTCTGTATAGTCCTGGCTGTCCTGGAAGTCACTCTGTAGACCAGGCTGGCCTCGAACTCAGAAATCCGCCTGCCTCTGCCACCCAAGTGCTGGGATTAAAGGTGTGCGCCACCACTGCCCGGCGGAATGCATAATTAAACAGTCATGGCTACACTGTGGTCTGGTTGCTCACATCCTCGGTTCTGGCCACTCACCATTCCATATAACAGTTTGTCCTTGAAAGCAGTCAGGATGGGAATGTAGGCAGGGCAGGAACCTGGCAGCAGGAGCTGATGCAGAGGCCGTGGAGGAGTGCCGCCTACTGACTTAGTCATGGTTAGCTTGCCTGCTTTATTACAGAACCCAGGACCACCACGTGGGAGTGATACCCCATAAGGAGCTGAACTCTTCATCGATCACTAATTAAGAAAATGCCCTACAGTCCTGCCTCCTATAGCCCACTCTTAGGGAGGCATTTTCTCAGTAGGATAAAAGGGTGAAGAATCCCTGAACCCCATCAATCCCTGAATGTGAAACCATAATGGCCCAGGGTTTCAGAGGAAGGGTCAAGAGAGCGTCAACCCAGGCAGATGGTGGTGGCGCACGCCTTTAATCCCAGCACTTGGGAGGCAGAGGCAGGTAGATTTCTGAGTTCCAGGCCAGCCTGGTCTACAGAGTGAGTTCCAGGACAGCCAGGGCTACACAGAGAAACCCTGTCTCAAAAAACAAACAAACAAAAAAACAAAACAAAACAAAACAACAACAACAACAAAGAGCATCAACCCCAGATACCTCAAACATAAGGATGGCAGGAGTTGGCTACCTCCCCACTCCCAACCTGGCACCATAAAGCCAGCTCCCCAACCATCAACTTTAGTGAGAATTTGTTATCTTTATAGTTATCAGGCTTCCTCGTTTGACCTACTAAGGTTCCCTCATGCCCACAGCCTTTGACTATGCAGATGAAACATCTTCCAACACTCCTGCCTTGGTCAATGGTACACGCCCACAAAACCTTGCCTTAGAGACCTTGGCCACTCCCCACTGGGGGGTGTGTTCTTTACCCCACTCATCTCTCTCCCAGATCCTGCACTGCACTTACCCGGGCCCTACTAAACTTCCCTTGCTCAGTGCTACAAAGACCCTGAGTCCTCCCAAGCTTAGGAATTGAAATCCCACCAATTCTCATCCTGGAAATCACCATTGGGAGCCACACCCCCAAGAAATCCTATATAAGCCCTGCCTTTGGCTCTGTTCTCCGCTGATTCTCACCCTAATCAGAGTTAGCAACCGTCCCTTGTGTGTGTGTGTGTGTGTGTGTGTGTGTGTGTGTGTGTGTTCCTTCCGATAAATCTCTCGTGTGGTTTGTTCTGTCCTGTGACTTTGTGGTTTTCCCTGGCTCCCAATTGCCAGGAAGCCTCTCGGAGCAGAGCTGTTTAACATTTTCCATGGAACAGAACTTGGCTGGGAAAACCTGCCGGGCTGGAGTAAAGCTGTAACACTTTCACTGGGGAAAACCTCCCTCTGCCAAAGCAGAATTGTTACACTCTCTCTGGGGAAGCCTTCCTCTGAGGAGCAGACCTGTAACCCTTTCCAGGAGAATCCCCTCCTGGAACAGAACTGTTGTACTTGCTTTAGGGAAACATTCCCCTGCCGCACCAGCAGCCACTAAGTTCTCGGTGTCCGGGCAGTGGTGGTGCACACTTTTAATCCCAGCACTTGGGAGGCAGAGGCAGGCGGATTTCTGAGTTCGAGGCCAGCCCGGTCTACAGAGTGAGTTCCAGGACAGCCAGGGCTATACAGAGAAACCTTGTCTCGAAAAACAAACAAAAAAACAAAGTTCCAAGTTTGCCTCCAAGTTTGCGTTCTCCAGTCATTATCGATCAGGATTTGCTCCCAAGCTGGGATGACAGGTGTGTGCCATCACGACTCAATTGTGAGGTTCTGGGGATGGAACTCGGGGGCCTTCTGTACGCATCGGTTGCTAGGCGAGCAATTCTACCATCTAAGCTACACCCTCCGCACTCCTTCAGAGATTTAAACGCCTTTCAGTAACAAGTTCAAGACAGCTTGGATGCTGTTTTAACGTACACAAGTGAACCGATCTACAACACAACACCTGCCCTGTAGACATCGCTCTGGGAGAGAATCAACAGGATTGGCAGAGGGTCCTACTGGGCGTGGACAGGGATTCGGAGGGTTGGCGGCTACAGAGCAAGTGTGTTAGGCAGAGCAGCTGAGCCTCAGAACCCGCCTCACGGGTCCAGCAGCTCCATTGCAAAGCAAGCGCCCTACCTGGCAAAGCTTCGCCGTCCACTGCCCCGCCTAGTAGTCTACTACGCACGCGCGCTGCTCTTACGCTCCCGGTAGAGCTCCCTCCCCGCCGTTCCAACAGCGCGCAGGCGTAGTAAGCCTCAGCAGCGCCGGGAGGCGGGCATAGGTCGGGGGCGGAGCCTGCGGCTGCGCACTCGCAAGCTCCGCCCCTCCGGTTCGCTAACAGAGGCGGAGCGCTTACAGTGGAAACAGCCTAGCTCGGCGTCGAAGTTGAGTCGTCTTGAGACGAAGTCCCCGCCGAAGACGCACCCACCATGGCGCCTGCTATCCTCGGGCTGACGTCGCGCTGGGTGATGCTCTTGGGTGCCGTGCTGCTGTTGCTTCTGTCCCGAGCGTCCGCGCAGGAGCCTCCGCGAATGAGTAAGGCCCGGGGGCCTAGGGGCTGGAGGAGGAGGGCGGCTGGGTCGGATCCAGGGCGGAGCCCAGCCCGCGGGCTTGGCGTCTTCTGCGTTCACGCCCTCCCTTGGAGCTGGGCACGGCAGCCGCTGCTGAGAGTTAACGTCGTGCCCTGAGGCATGAAAGACAAGCCCGGTCGGAACCGATGCCTAGGCTTAGCTGCTGGCTGATTCGGGTTCCACTCGGGGAGCATCTGCATTCCTGCCTGTGTCAGGTGCTGGGGCCCCCGCCACTTTGAGGATCTTATAAAGTGCCTGACACTAGCCCAGCACTGTTTCTGTTTGGGGGGGAATCAGGGAGCTGGCAAGTTGTGTCCAGGTCTGAGGCTGAAGAGGGTCGACTTGGTCAGCTTTCTGACCTTTACACGCTAGGGTTGATGGGGCTCTGTTAGAAGGAGAGTGTTTTTCTCAACCATGTTAACTCAGGCTCTCGCGAGGTGTCTTTACATTCTAGCCTGTCACGGCACTGTGCTTTCTCTTTGTGACCTTTTGCGAGTTGTCGCAGCTCTGGGTTTAAGTTTCTTATCTGCTCCCAGGTGTGGCTAGGGTCTGCCACTGTCTCACTCCTGCTGCCTTCGTGAGGATGAGTAAAGGAGCCGATCCTGGCCGCTCAGGGGACTTGAGGCTAGGTTCTCCAGTGGGGACTTTATGCCAGGCAGAATGCTGGGGAGCCTGTGGAGACCCAGGACTCCTTCCCAGTGGCTCAGAGGTGTCTGCTGCCTTACTAGGATGCTCTAGTGAGGGGGCCACCAGTCTCCACCTCTTGCCTCTTGTCAGGTGTGAGGATTCTACTCTTTGTCGTTCTATAGGGAGATGACTAATGTTTAAAACAACTTGTCTTTTTTGGTTTTTCGAGACAGAGTTTCTCTGTATAGCCCTGGCTGTCATGGAACTCACTCTGTAGACCAGGCTGGCCTTGAACTCAGAAATCCACCTGCCTCTGCTTCCCAAATGCTGGGATTAAAGGCGTGCGCCACCACTGTCCTGGCGACAACTTGTCTTTACAAAGAATCTGCGTACATTTCCATTACAGCATTCCCAAACTCACCTTTTTTTTTTTTTTAATCTGAGGCTGGGTTTAGGCTGGCCTTGAACTTACAGGTGTGTCTTGCCTGCCTGCCTTCCGCCTCCCAAGTGCTGAGAATAAAGGTGTGTATCCACCCAGCCCGGCAAAACTCACCTTTTAAATATTTTTGTGTGCTTGGCCGAACCTATAGTAGATTACAGATCTATAGATCACTCTATAGAGTGAAACTCATGACATTGAGGACACTTTGACAGGGCTTTTGGACCCTCACTAATGCCGTGTGGAGTCACTGTCTCTGAGCTTCATCTTGGGGAAAAACAGTCCCCAAAAGCGCAGTTGTGTTCCTCCTGGGAATACTAAGGCACAGTGGTGGCTCCTGCAGGTCACCGGGTGGTGTGTCCTTACTGAACACCTCAGTTAGTAGAGGAGTCTTCAGTTCCCCTCCCTCTGTCCCTGAGAGACCTGCCTTACTGAACTGTATTATTCAGTACCACATGCATGCCTTTTGGGGTGCCCTGCCCCTCCTTTTCTCAAACAGGGAGGTGTCAGTTTGTCAAGCAAGTATACTCTCCTGACATGACAGTAGAGATACTTTCTGAGTTCTGTCATCAGAGCGGGCACGCTTAAGCCCTTCCAAGTTTATTTTGCTTGGGGGCACAGAAGATGGCAGCGGGTTTCATAGGTTTACAGTGAGTAACACGTTCACTTCCTTAGTTTTCAAAATCATCCCCTTCCCACATGTAGGTGTGTCTTTTTGTCCTGAGTACCTGAGTTGACTCACCTGAAACGTCGGGGACCCACTCAGAAATGAGTCACTATTTATTGCCTCTCCATTTAATTATTAAAGGAGTCTGAAAGTTCTTTAAAAATGAGTAAATAGCATCTAAACTTAACTCTAAGCCACAGCGCCTCCGAGTCAGGACTTTCGTGATCAGCCCCGAGGAACTGCAAAGGCATTGTTCCTATTTCCAGTGTGTGGCTGGCTGTGTCCCGTGATAGGGTAAGAGATACTGTGTGTGGCCTCCCAGAAATGTGAGCTATGGAACAGCAAGTTGTCAGTGTTTCCTTCCTCATCACAGGAGTCTGGGAGTTACTTCAGCCTGGATGCCTGCCACTGGTGCTCTCTGGTACACAAGATCCACCCTAGAGTTGGTCTGTGGAAGAGGAGGGCTGGTTCCTGGGGATTCAGACTACCTAGTAATGGGCAGGCCCAGCATGGCCAGAGATCAGGAGCTCAGGATGTTTTTTTTTTTTTTTGAACTCAGTTCTTTTCGGTTCTCAAAAGCGCAGTTAACCAAAACATCCTGTAACAGATCCGGACCTCGTCATTCCTGAGGCCCGCTGTGCCGGCTGATAGCAAGCAAAGCCATACTTTCTCGTGGATAACTTTGGAAAAGCTGGAGAGCGGGTGTGTTCAGCACACCCTCAGCTGTCAGCATAATGAGAAAGATCTCACTCAGTGTGGGGGTGTAGGAGAGCTAAGGGGCGGTACAGCCAACTAATGGTGCAGCTATCCTGAGTGACCGCATGGTGTACGGCTCCCTCTCTGTGCTTGTTAGAGAGCTTACCATAAAGCTACCTTTCTAGCTTACCATCAAACCTGGTCATTTAATTTTTTTTGTTGTTTTGTTTTTTGAGACAGGGTTTCTCTGTATAGCCCTGGCTGTCCTGGAACTCATTCTGTAGACCAGGCTGTCCTCAAACTCAGAAATCTGCCTGCCTCTGCTTCCCAAGTGCTGGGATTAAAGGTGTGCACCGCCACTACCTGGCTTTTATTTATTTATATATATATATATATACACACACATATATATCTCTGTGAGATTAGGCTCACTTTGTAGCTCTGGTTGTCTTGGAACTCACTATGTAAATTAGGCAGGCCTCAGACTCCCAGAGATCCACCTGCCTCTGCCTCCTGAGTGCTGGGACTAAAGGCATTTGCCACTACGCCTCACGTGGTCTTCCCTGTCTAGATTTTGTAGATAGACAAAATCTATCTGGTGCTGGGAGGGATGGTGTGTATAGTGGCACCTGGTCATCCCTTTTGCTGATAAAACTGTGCTGTTAGCCAGGTGCAGCCTTTCCTGAGTGTCTCTGCAGGTCAGTGGCAGAGCACCAGAGCCCAAGAATTGTCTTGCTTTGCTTCTGTCTTTTTGAGGCAGGATCTCTGTGTAGCCCAGACTAACCTGGAATTCTGATCCCCAGGCCTCAACCTTCAAGTGCTGGGCTTGCAGGTGTGTTCCACACCAGTCTATCTCTTGAGATAAGTCTTTCCTCCTACGTCCTGCGAAGTTAAAAAGCTTAAATGTAACTACCCCTGGATAAGTTTCTCCATGCAACCCAGCTACTCTAGATGCAGAGACAGCAACCTAGCAACCCAGTGAGCCTAGCATCTTCCCCCAACATGCTTGCTCTCACCCTAGGCGATGAATGTACGTTGTGTGGAACTCCTTGGACTTTGATAGGAAGCTTCTTTCACCCCAGTTGGTCAATTTCACTTATCTGACTTCTCTTTGTGGCTTGAAGTTGCTCCACTGTATAGATACTCCAGTCTAGCTGTCCCTCCTTCTAGACGTGAACACCTGGGCTGGTTCCAGTGGGGTCATTGTGGATAGAGATACGGTGAGCACGCTTGCCCAGGGCTTTCTTTGGGTATGTCTTCTGATGTCTTGAATAAGAATACATCTAGTGGGCTTGCTAGCCACAGGAGTGGCCATTTCTAAAAATGGCTGAGCCAACTCCGAGTGTGCGAGTGTGAATTCTCGTTGCTTTGTGCCCCTGGTCACCTCTCAAGTTTAGCCTTTCTCATGCATGCGTCTCTGTGAAGGGTTTAATTTGCGGTTCCCTGGCAACCAATGACTTGAGTGCAGTGTTCCTTTCAAAGTGTGCTTATCCTAAGGGATGATGGTGGAAGAAGCAGTGGCCCCAGTTGGACAGCATGAGAAATCCTTGATGTATATGCTAATTATATACATTTGGTTTGCTTGCATTCCAAGGCTGATAGCTGTGTAGACTTTGACCCTTTCCTGAAATAATGCTTTGGGTGCTGGCCGGGTCTCAAGGTGCTCTGCATGACTGGAACAGGCTGGTACCAGCTGGCTTCTTGGGTTTGGGGAGCATACTGCTGGCTGGGGAAGCTTGCCCCAGGATCTTGAGATCTAGAGGTAAGTTTGCAAGCTTGGCTTTGCCTCTAGGCTATGGCCTCCTGCTCACGGGAGCATGCCAGTAGCAGTGGGTGTCAGCAGGTTAGTGGCTGCACAGTTTAAGGGCTCACCTATAAAGGAGAGCTGTACAACATGGCTATCCTGTGTTTAGAATCTTCCTTCCCAGGAGATTGGTTGCAGGAGTGGCTCTTCCTTCGGGTGACTTGCTTGCAACCGGAATAAGATGGGTGCCCTGAAGCAGCAGGCCAGCACCAGCACCAGCAGAGTCCTGATCATTCTGGGCAGAGGTTCACAGGACCCGTTTATTTTTTTGTTTGTTTTGTTTTTTATTCTTTCTCTGCAGTGATACCTTTGTCTCTCCCGGCAGGTTGCTCTGAGTACACAAACAGATCCTGTGAAGAGTGCCTCAGAAATGTCTCGGTAAGTTCCGCAGCTTGGACCCTTGTCCTCAAGTCCAAGGAGGTGTGTGTGTGTGTGAAGTGAGCTGTCACTGGAGAATTGTTGGATGCTTTTCAGGGTGGTTGTTAAATACCATCCAGCTTCACTCGGGCACCTGAAGCCTTCCCGTGAAAGGCCCAGGCTCCGTCCAGTACAGCCAGTATCCGTGACCTGGTTAGGCAGTGTGGGGATACACCCTTCCTGGAGCTGCCTATGATGTTGCGTGTGTTGGCCTTGGCTGACTAGGACTGTTTGCCTGGGTCACCTTGGGATGAAGTGGGCCTAGGACCCTTCTGAGGGGTCACCTTGGATTTCGATGGAACAGACATTTGTCTGCCCTTCTGGGAGAAATGGGCCAGCAGTGGGGATTAGCTCCACGGCGGAGATCTTTAGGTGTCCTGAGAGGACTCTTAGCTTCTGCAGGGTGGGAGCCTGCTCTCTGGCCAGCCTGGGCGGCTCGTCTCTGCTGCTCCTTGAGTCTGAGGAGTTGCTGGGCTTGTTTAGCTCAGTGCAGTGCAGCTTCCAGTGGGAACTCTGAGGGAGGAACAGAGGCAGAGCAGCAGGTGGTCAGAGAACAGTCTTCAGAGGCTGCTCCCAGAGACAGCAGGGAGGCTTCGGCAGGAAGGCTTCTTAGCATCCCACCCTGTCTGTCGGTTAAGGACCACACAGGCCAGGGCAGTGTTTCCTCTTGGCTTCTACCACAGGACATTAGGAACATCTTAGAAAGCAGCAGAAGATGTTTTGTTTGTTTGTTTGTTTGTTTGTTTTTTCGAGACAGGGTTTCTCTGTGTAGCCCTGGCTGTCCTGGAACTCACTCTGTAGACCAGGCTAGCCTTGAACTCTCGAACTCAGAAATCCACTTGCCTCTGCCTCCCAAGTGCTGGGATTAAAGGCATGCACCACCACTGCCTGGCAAGCAGAAGATGTTTAAAGGAGCAGTGTGGATCTGAATCATGTCTTCTTACTTTGTGAGACAAAGATCCAGTGGACAGCAGGATCTGCTGACTAACACCCATCAGCTGCTCCTGCCTCAGTATTGTCATTGCTAGTGCTGAGTCCGCTACCCCGTGGGCGGGTGTTCTTGACTCTCTAGGTTCTCGTTCCCCCACCCCCAACCCCTAGGAGACCATTTTAGTAGTTAAAAAAAATAAATAGTTCACTGTTGTACTAGCCTGGTGACCTCATTAGCCTGGGCTGTGCCCGGTGAGGACAGAGTCCACAGAGGGACCTGCCCAGGTCACAGTGGCTTAGTCGACTTGGGTAGAGTCTGAGGCCTTACCCCGCTCTGAACCCAGACAGCAAGGCTTCAGAAAGGCAAGGTGGAGTAGGCTAGCCCAGGCCCAAAGGGCTGCCTGGAGACAAGGTGCTGGGAAGAGGTGGCCGCCTGTAGGCCTTCTGAGGACCAGCAGGTTAGAGAAGGCTGTGCCATTCCTTGATGCTGCTGAGTTCAGGGGCCTCTTCAGTTAAGAACAGAACGACGCCCACTGAGAGTGCTGTGTTCTCTTTGGAGCTCCTAGTCACAAGAACAAGATTATGAAGAAGATTAGCTTGAGCCTTGTTTACTAACCAAAAGTAGTGCAGAGTGGAACCTCTGGGAGGGAGGATGTGCCCAGCAGCAGGATCTATTGGGACTCGCTGCTGTTTGCCACGCACACTCTCAGGAATCCTTGTGAATGCACAGTGGACGCTGGCCTCGGCCATGCTTTAATGGTCTTGTGATAGATGCTATTCCAAACTGAGACCCTCAGCTAGTTTTTAATTGTTGAAGATGCAGTGAGGTGCTTCCTCGGCAAATGTGTGTGCTCTTGAAAGCAGACTTGTTTGCCCTGTGATGTGTGTGGTCTTCCCAAGGACACCTACCTAGATCAGCTGTGCTGTGTGCTGGTCATCTTTAGCCCAGTCTAGCATTGCATGCTGGGTACGGTGGACCCTGCTTTGATTTCTGACATGTGTTGGTACAACAGCACTGTCTGTTCACTGGTCTATTCCCACCTCAGCTCTTGAGGGCTCAGTCGAGTCCCCTGGTGGTTCTATCCTCTTCTGATCCTTCAGTGATCCCTGTATCACCCTTCAAAACCGGACACTTAGTGCAATGTAAGATGGGGGCACAGGACCTCCTACATAGCACCTCTGTACCCCATCGTCTGTTCAGCAAACACCTAGGGATGCTCAGGTTCCCAGTCCTGTGTCTCTGGGTGCTCAGTGAAGGCCCCAGCTGTCCAACTTCCTGCACAGCGGGAAATGCTCTGTAGAGTGAGAGGAGGCGTGCGGCGGGAGAAAGCGGGCAGGGTTGTTGGTCAGGGAATAGGGACAGGAAGCCTCCTTGAGGAGATGAGGGAATCATTCTCAGGCTTCAGGAAGAGGGCTCTAGAGAAAGCACCTGCAAAGGCCCTGGGAGCCCAACAGCTTTCAGGACCGTATGGCTCTGTAGGGTGGACAGGGCTGCCAGCCACTGTGTTGGCCATTGACCGGAGGGCAGCAAGAGCAGGGGTACGTGGGAGGTGGATGTCCAAGATCATCGTCTATCCTAGAGAGTTGGAGGCAGGGATTCTGTTGAAGGGTCTCCTGACGTCGGTCTCTTTCAGTGTCTGTGGTGCAACGAGAACAAGGCCTGCATGGACTACCCAGTAAGGAAAATCTTGCCCCCTGCTTCTCTTTGTAAATTGAGTTCCGCTCGCTGGGGCGTGTGCTGGGGTAAGTTGTTTTCATTTACTTCTTGAAAATCATTGGGGTTTGATGACTCTGGAGCTTATGCTCGATCAGCATATGTTATTAGGAAGTTACTCGGAATGCTGCTGTACTGTGACTCTCGGAAGAAGGAAGCAAGGAGCCTGTGGTGGTCTGCCCTTGGGCAAGCAGCCAGGGACCTGGAGGGCTTCTGCAAGCATCAGTGGCCACAGCACCACACGGCACAGGGGTTGGGGAGAGCATGGGAAAAGCCTGCTCATACGTCCCATGTGCGTGATGTGCTCCCTGGGAGCCTTTGTGGATTCCTACTGGCCAGTGGTCCCCAGCTGAGGATCCAGTCAGCGCAGTCAGGCAGACGCCTGATGTGTGTCTGTCTGTGGTGATCATTTTCCTCCCATGAAAGAAGTTAGCCTGTGGACTCAGCTTTCCCTTTAAGTACATTTGTGCTATGTGTTGCTGTCTGGAAATGTGGAGAGCTGCGCAGTGCTGCGCCTCTAAGATGGCGCCGGTTTCCGCCTTCTGCCATCCCGATGGCAAGAGCTCTTAGGAGTAAACAAGCCCTTATTTGGCTGTGGCTGGTGATCTGGCTTGCTTCCGTGTATATGGACCTATCTGCTGTCACCACGTGGCTCGCTAGAATAGGTTAGCCCTAGACTACTTAAGCCTGGGAGGCTCGCCCAGGGTGAGAAGCTTGTTCAAGGTTCCTGATAAACTGCGTGTAGAAGAGCTCAGGTGTTACGTTATCCTTGCTGGTCGAGGGGGCGCGACATGGAAACTCATTTTCCTGGAGTGAGCTGTTCACCTTTGGTGATGTTAGGTTTGGGGTGGCGCAGGCCTCCTCCAAGCCTGTGAAGGAGCTGCTGTTGCTCAGAGCGCTGGGATGAGATTTTGTTGATGGCTCCTTCTGTTGGCATCATGGAACCTCTCTGCCTCTTACATCTTGCTTAGCTGTCTTTTTACAAAAGACGTCAGGCTCAGAATTCTATTGGCCTTTAGGTAAAACAGCTTGGCTGTTGTAAAAGCCCAGGAAATCCAGAAAGCAAGGAGGGCGGACACCAGGTGTCTGTGTGGTGTGTCTTTGGTGTCCAAGCACCACTGTGTCTGTCCTTCTGTCCTGGCACAGAGAAGCATCTGAGGTCTCGGCCATGGGAGCCTCGGCTTTGGAGCACTGCTTGCCTCTCAGATATCTCCCATTGTTGATGTGTGAATTCCAGATTACCTTATAGTCTGGGTTATCACACTCAGGAACATGGTAGACAGTTCTGGAGCTGCTGGAAGTGTCCCACACTCTCAGGTCCTGCGGCCTTCACTAAAGGATGGCCTGCTTTGTGCTGCTTTCTCCCCATTCCACTAAGAGCTGTCCTGCACTGCACACAGTGGTGTCCCCTTCCCTATCTGTGAGCAAGAGCAGAGAGAAGGGTGAGCTGTCGGCCTGACTGATGACTGAAGGTGTTGAACAGTGTCAGGTGGTGGCTGCTCTTGATAATTGTCTGGTGCGATGCAGTTGCCACCAGGTTACCGATGGTGAAACAGCACCCCAGTGCAGGACAGATGACATTCCCGGTAGCTGTCAGCAATTGTAGTTACCACTGGCTGCCAGCAGAGTAGGCTGGCCCCTGTGGGAGGCAGCCTTGTACCGGTGGATAGCAAGCAGGTCTGTGGCTGGTCCCCGGGAGCACACTCAGTCACTGCTGAGGGTCCGAGGACTGACACCCACTGCATGTGAATGCAGGCAGCTGGGCCTGGCCTTGTGGTGGAGGTTGTTAGGCAGGGTCCATACTCCCCCGTGCAGGAGGGCACTTAAGGTCAGGCCACCAAGCCTCCTAATTTCACCATGGGTCAGCATGGCTTGTCATACTGATGGCCAGCCTGCACCATGACAATGAATTCTTACGAAAAACCTTTAGAGTCATTTTTTTCCTCCTCTGGGAAAACTGTTAGAATTTTTACCCAGGGTTTTAATTGTAATGACTTGAAGTGTTATTGTTATGTTCATTTGGAGAAAAATGACGACTTTCTACATTGACCTTTTGTGCTGAGCAAGGTGTCACTCCCTCTTGTCAGGCCATGTTTGCACGTGGGGAGAAGCCCCTGCGTCTCCCTGTATGGTTAACAGGAGCCCACACACTCCTTTCCCATCGTGACGAGATTGCTGTTTTTATCTGAAGCTGACTTTAGCTTCTTGTCAGAGAAGCTGTGGGAGTAGATTAGTTTTAGTTAGATCCAGCTGTCTAAATGTTCTCATTTGTAGGTTGAGCTTTACAGAATTCTGTAGTTAAAAACTGTGCCACCCACTGATGCCTATGACGGTCTCTTTTCTAACCACACGAGTTGCTACTTTCCGGAACATGTTCAGACTGGCACAGGTAGACAGAACCCGGGATTAGAGCTCAGGGAATCGATCTGAGTGGCTGCAATGCCTGCTTCTGAGTTTAACGTGCTTAGAAGCTGAAAGGGGCCTGCTAGAGGCCAGTGGGACAGGCCACTGGGCTGGGGCTGCCTGAGGTAGGCCAGCAGCTAGGGGGTTTGCTTGTGAGGTGCCTTGAACTGCCTCTAGTTTGAGCACAGTAGTAGTAGAGAAACCTTGGCTGGGTTTCTTTATTTATTTTGTTTGTTTGTTTGTTTTTCTTTTCTTTTTTTTTTTAAGTTTTTCGAGACAGGGTTTCTCTGTGTGTAGCCCTGGCTGTCCTGGAACTCACTCTGTAGACCAGGCTGGCCTCAAACTCAGAAATCCACCTGCCTCTGCCTCCCAAGTGCTGGGACTAAAGTCGTGCACCACCACTGCCCGGCTTGTTTGTTTTTCGAGACAAGGGTTTTCAATGTAGTCCTGGCTCTGAACTTGCTCTGTAGACCAGGCCTTGAACTTAGTGGTCTGCCTGCTTGTCTTGAGACCTGGGATTATAGCCGTGGTTTAGCACATGCCATGTGACTTCTTTGACTGTTGTTTGGTTTGTTTGTTTGTTTGTTTGTTTTTGGAGACAGGGTTTCTCTGTGAGGCCCTGGTTGTCCTGGGACTCAGTTTGTAGACCAGACTGGCCTTGAGCTCAGAGATCCACCTGCCTCTGCCTCCTGAGTGCTGAGATTAAAAGTGTGGCCTACCACCATCTGGCTGGTTTTAATACAAAGTCCTTTAAGACAAATTTAGAAGAACCTTAAAATTTAGTTTCAGTTTGTGTCATTTCCTGAAGGGTGGCTCTTTTGAGTACATCACGCCATTGAGTGACACTGGCTAGCCATTTTTTTTTTTTTTTAAGATTTATTTACTTTATGTATGCAAACTGTTTCTCTGTTCAGACACACCAGAAGAGGGCATCGGATCCCATTACAGATGGTCGTGAGCCACCATGTGGTTGCTGGGAATTGAACTCAGGACCTCTGGAAGAACAGTCAGTGCTCTTAACCTCTGAGCCATCTCTCCAGCCCTGGCTAGCCACTCTTAAATATCCTGGGGCATCTGTAATGCTTGGATGTGCACATGTTGGTGGTCAGGCACTTCCCCATCTATAGGCAGCACTAAGGAGTCAGGAGGTCTTGGAACAGACACACTTGACATCTTCTCTTCTTTCGGTCTTAAGTGGGGAAAAGGCTGTCTTGTCTCATTAGTTTGGTTGGTTAATCTAGAAATCTTAAGTTGTAGACATTGGCTGAAAAGAGCCCAGTGCCCAGGCCCCATGCTTGGGACTGCTCCAGTGACAAGAAGTGTCACCCTTGAGGGTGGAGGGAGGCCATGCTTGCAGACGTTTCAGCTTTGTGCTTGGGCTTGCAGTGAACTTCGAGGCCTTGATCATCACCATGTCAGTGCTTGGGGGCTCTGTGCTCCTGGGCATCACTGTGTGCTGCTGCTACTGCTGCCGCCGGAAGAGGAGCCGGAAGCCAGACAAGAGTGACGAGCGGGCCATGAGGGAGCAGGAGGAGAGGAGAGTGCGGCAGGAGGAGAGGTGAGGCTGGGCTCCTCGCTCGGGAGCTTCCTTCTGACTACTGGAAGGCGGCCGTGAGAGGCGAGGGTTGAGAGTCATGCTGTCTCCGCTTCCAAAAATGTAGCGAGCTTGTTGTCCACCATTTTCTGAGCTGTGGTTAGGGGAGAGAAGCTGGCCATGTCTCAGAGCGCAGGTGCCCAGCCTACTCTTCCATTGGTGGAGAAGGCTGGCAGAGTCTCTGCCGCAGTGCTCCTCCACAGGCCGCGGCAGCCATAGGACTGCCATTCCAGCCAGAGCGTGGAGTTCTCCTCGTGTGCTGGGCCTCAGACAGTCTAGGAGGCAGATGGTGATGAGGGTTCAGCTCTAGAGCAGGTAACAGGAGTAAATGTTGACAGTTGCCTTTCCCTGGTCACCTGATGCAAGACTTTCACCCATTGCGTTTTCTCTATGAGAACTTTTTAAAAGATCACAGTATTAGACATTTGAATTCTCTTTTGTTTGTTTCTTCTTTAAGAGGGCCTGGCCTTGAGCTCTGAGTCTTCCTGCCTCAGTCTCTTGAGTGCTAGGATAACAGGTGGTTCCCCACCATGTCCAGTCAGAATTAGTTTGTGGAAAATAGTAGACTGGCCCTCAGCGCAGCCTCTGCAGACTGGCTCTGCACTCACCCTGCTAGTCGAGGGGTAGGTGTAGCCTGGTGGACACAGTCATCCCCACCTTTTTATGGGGAGCTGAAGAGTGCTGAAAGAGCCTTTAGCCTCTGCTAGAGGAAGTGAAGGGGCCGGGTTGGAGGTGACCTTGCTTGTCGGTCATACTTGGATGTAACTCAGTATTTCTGTATTCTTTTTTCTTTAGGAGAGCAGAAATGAAGTCAAGACATGATGAAATCAGGAAAAAATACGGTAAGAATGAGCTGGGTTTCTCTTTCCTGGTCAGGATCTGGGCAGCTGCTGCTTATCCAGAGAACAGTCCTCCACTGGAAACGGCAGCTGTGCGTGCAGTTGCCAGGGCAGCAGCGGAGACTGACTGCACTGTGTGCCTCAGAAGAGGAGGGCTCCGGCAGCCTTCGTCTCAGCCACATGCTTTCTTTGGTACTTGTGACGTGTGACAATTCAGAAGGATTGTTCTTGGCTGCGTGTGTCCATTTGCCTTAAAATAGCGCACGCCTGTGGAACTAGCCTTGGGTCTGAGGCTCCTTCCCTAGTGTGTGTCTCTTACTGTCTCCCATGGGCTCAGACCACCCTTCTTCATCAGAGGATTGGCTGTGACCAAGGCATGCCACCTCTCCCTCCATGCTTTCTGGCTACACCATCTTGTTTGGAGAAACGGGAGTGACTGGAGGAACCAGTCTGCTGATGGGCTCCAAGTGTAGGCCGCGTATGTTCTGTTGGACTGAGGTAGAAGCCCAGGATGGTGGATACTCCATCTCCATGGTCACACATGACTCTGCTCCTGGTTTCTGTCTGCTGCTCCTGGTTCCGAGCTGGTTTTAAAGCTGAGAAAGGGCACTGGGGCTTTCTGCCTGGACTTTCTGGCTGCAGAGGTTGGGTGCTGTGGAAACTGACCCCTCATTCTCTGAGCTACGGGGCCGAGGGCTGCGGGGAAGCTCCAGCTGAGAACCTGCATTTTGGCCTTGAATCACTATCCTGTAATTGTTTTTAAAGATCAATATTTATTTTATGTATGTGCATACATGTAGTTGCCTTAACACACCGGAAGAGGGCATCAGATCCCACTACAGATGGCTATGAGCCACCATGTGGTTGCTGGGAATTGAACTCAGGACCTCTGGAAGAGCAGTCAGTGCTCTTTATTAACTTTGTGTGTTTGTACAAACATGCTAGCATGCACACATGGAGGTCAGAGGATGACTTCTGGGAGCCAGCTCTTCTGGCATATGGGTCCTGGGGTCTTCAGGATTGGTGGCAAGGATTTTATCTACTGAGCCCCATCTCACCAACTCCCAAGAAATACAGTTTTGAGGTTTTATACATACATACACACACACACACACACACACATATGTATGTATGTATACACAGAGACATCATATTGGTGATGCTTAAGGATCTTACCCTCTAGGAACTCAGTTTTACCACTGTGTATGTTAGCTTCTCAGTGCTGAGAGCAAAGGCCTGACTTAAACATCTTTAGGAGGAAGGATTTCTCTTGTCTCATTGTGACAGTTTTCTGTCCAGGGTGCACTGCTGTGGGCCTGTGGTAAGGCAGACCTTGGTGAAGGAAAGCTGCTCACTTTACAACAGCCATGAAGGAGTTTGGGGGAAGACAGCAGCTGGAACAAGGTGGCCCTTTAAGGACCTACTTCCTTCAGCTAGATCCCATCTCCTGATAGTGCCATTGGTTTTAAGAATCCATGAATGGAAGTCGGGCATGGTGGCATGATGACACCTTTGATCCCAGCACTCAAAGCAGAAGCAAGTAGATCTCTAAAAGTTGGCGGCCAGCCTCATCTGTGTAGTAAGTTCCAGGCCAGCCAAAGCCGTGTAGTAAGACCCTGACTCAACAGACAGACAGGATTCGTAACCGGGTGAATCTGTAGATGACCTCAGGGCATTTATGACTCTGTTGTAGAGCTCACATCTGAACATTTGCTTCACTGACTAAAAATGGCTGAGTCCACATCATGGCACTGGCTCATTTCTCTTGTTTAGGGAGATGCTATGCAAAGTCCAGTTTGTGTCCAGACCCCAGTGCATGCAGCATGGCTCCTCTAGCTGGACGTTAAATGTGCGAGTCTTTGGTTCCCTGCAGGGGCTGTAGTTATCTCTGCTCCTGTCAGGACTGTGCATCTCTGCTCACCTGGCCCATCATGCACTGGGACTGAGCAAGGGCTGTAGCTGTACAGCTTCTTCCCCAGTGCTCCTGCTGCAGGCTCTGCGTGCTGCGGCCTGCAGCCTGTGCTGGGATCTGGGCCTCTGACATCAGTAGCTGCCTCTGAGCCTGCCTAGCCCTTGTCTCCTCCTATTGGTCTCTGTCCTTGTTTCATCTTTATGTGTCTGGGGCTCCTGGGTGGGCAGAACATGGAGATCCTGGTGTCTCTGCCCTCACAGAGTCTGAGTCGGTAGATTACAAGTCGTGTAAGTGTGAGGTAGGGGCTGGGACAAGGGGTGGGGGTGGTGAGACAGGATGAGGGACTGGGGTAATGCAAGGGAGAGGCAAATAAATGGGGAAGGTGGAAAGAAAGAAAAGTGGGTGGGTGCCACGGACTTCTGGGTAAATTCATAGCTTGTCCCAGGACTACTGTAATACTGGCTTGTCAACTTGATGGTGTGTGTTCTTTTTATAGTCTTGATTCTCCAGGCACAGCCACAGCTCTTAGGAGGTTTGAGATGAAGTGGCTTGCTTGGTTTTTCTGTGTGATTCTCAGCACTGCGGAAAGAAACACGTGCAGAAACTTTCCCGACTTCTTGTGATCTCAGCTGTGGCTTGTTTCTGAGGAACGGTTGGGATTTCTGTTCCTGGTGGATTTTATTTCAGTTTTAAAAAGTCGCCTGTAGCTCAGCCTCAGCAAAGGTCAAGAATAGTATGGAAGCCTGCTTGGAACTACAGTTAAATCAGTCATGTAAAACTTTGCTGAGGTATATTGAGTTTTGTAGGGGTACGGTAGGTGATTTTGTTTCATTTTGGAGCTGGTTGTTGAGACAAGGTGTTATTATGTACTCTGGTTGGCCTAGAACTCCACTGGTAGACCAGAATGGCCTTGAACTCACAGAGACCCACTGCCTCCCGGATGCTGGGATTAAAGGTGTGCTAGCCTTAGCTTCCCTAGTATTAGGACTATGGGCATAAGCCAGAACACCCAAAGCTATACATTGCTTTTGTGAGTTTATTTCCAGTTGAGTGAGTGAATTTGTAAGACAGTTTTTTTTTTCTCTTTTCTCCCTCAGGTCTGTTTAAAGAACAAAACCCGTATGAGAAGTTCTAAGGCGGCTGGCACACACTTGCGGTGGATCGTGCAGTTCCAAAGTTTCCTGGGAGTGCACTCCTCAGCAGAGCCTGCGGAGACCTCGCCACCACAGCCACCCTTGACCCGGGTGATCCCTCAGCCTCAGCACTGGCACCGGCGTGGCCTTGAGAGGACAATCCTGCTCTTGTTCCTTCTATGTCTGTATGTAATCACCTGAGACCTTAATCTCGTTGATGTCCTTTTTGGGGGGAGGAAATGTACTTGGTCCCCACAGTCTGCAAGCCGATTACGAAGCTGGCAGCCTGAGGTGCTGCCTGGCTGCTGTGGCCTTGCTGGAAGATTCATATTGCAACAAACGAGTCATGTTCACTGTGTGATGGCAGGGACTGACCACGGCCTCTGCAGGCCCACTGCTGTCACATGCCGTTGTTTTTAATTCTGGTGGCCTCTTGGAAGGCACTGTCCCAAAGTCTAGTAAGGATTGGCTTCCTAACCCAGCTCTATCCCATAGCACAAAAGCTTATAAAGTCACCAGAAGTCTTTAATCCCTAAGGAAGCAGTCCTGTCAACCTCTCACGAGAAGCCCAGGCCTCTCGGATGGCGTCTTTTATTTTCAGTCTTTATTAGACTGAGAATCTTCCCACCATGGAAAACCTGGGCTGTGTTCAGTTTGATCCTCTTGTGAGGGCTGAATGTCCGCCTCAGGCCTCTGCAGCTATGGTGGTTCACGGATGCCCATGTCCTCAGAAGGACATCTCCCTCTACGAGTCAGGCTGCTGTTCAGTTGGTCCTCTACATATTCATGGAGGATGAACGGCTTGTCCACCAGCCAGCCTGCTGTGGGAGCTGAGTGTGTAGGAAGTTCAGAGGACCCCATACCATCTTGCCTACCAGGAAAACTGCCTGAACTGACACATATACCCACTTCACCTCTACCCTGCTTCCAGCCATGCCTCACTGTGTCTGACACATCAGCATGGGCCCTGGGAAGGTTGTCAGGGGGCATTCAGGTCCCTGTGATTCCGTCCATACTGTGCATTTCTTTGAAATCTAGATGTGTCCCTAGTAAGCAGATCACAACCCTGATGGGAGGGTAAGGAGGAAAGATTCCCCCCTGGGAAAGCAGCCCTCAGCAGATGAGGGGGTCTTACTGTAGGCTCCCTCATGCATGAGACCTCACCTAGCAGCTGGGTAACCTTTCACTGTCAGTTTGTCTATCCAGGGATTAACATTTTCTTCCCTTCTGATTTCCACAAACTAAGGGAATAACCTTTACCACAATCTGGAGTCTTACCATTTTTCTGCCTTGTTAGGCATTTGATGGAATTTAAAGCCTTGTCAAACATTTCCTAAGTATTATAGCAGCTATGGCGAGTTCTCTTTCTCCTGTCTGTTGAAAGGGAACCCTCCTCACAGGCCCTGATGACCTTTGTATTAATATGTAGCACGTGTAAATTGTACCAGTTAGGTTGCTGAGCTGATGTTAGTGTAACAACTGCTAAATGCAGAGGATTACATTCTCCAGCGTAGAAATGCAGCAGGTGCTCGGAGGAGTGGTCTGTGCCTGCCTCTGCACAGCGCGAAGAATAGCCACAGAACCAAGCCTGAGACCATCACACCCAGTGCCTTAGTTTTTAACCTCTATCCAATAAAATGGTTGAATATGGCTTTGATTTCTTTGTGCTTTGTCCCAAGGGTGAACTGGGGCTGTAGCTTTCCAGGTAAGCTGAGCACCTGGGTTTGCCCTGTGAACTGTGTACCATGTCCCACAGGGACTGACTAGACCAGTCCTGGAGTGGTCACCACTCCCTGCCCTCCATGTAGAGAGGTCCTCGCTGTCACCTGCCCTGTCCAATCCCATGCCACCAAGCTCAGCATTCCGTTTTTGTACTGGTACAAAGACGGCCGAGGAAGTGGCTCTGCATGGGTGCCAGCTGACACTGGCTCCTGGGTGTTCTTCATCAGCTCTGGAGTCTAAAGTGGAGAGGCTGGTGGGCATAGCATAGATAAAGGTGTGGGTGTCACCTGTAACCAGCTGTTGGCTGTTGGTTCCCAGGGTCCTTTGTCTCAGAGCTCAGCCTGGCTGCTTGAACCTGTTGTCCATTGAAGTAGAGACGTAGGGGCCTGGGCATGGAACTGACTCTGTCGCTTTCAGGTTAACACTAGAATGAGGGACTGGCCTGCAAACCCAGGAACCAGAGCATAGTGATTCTGAAATATGCAGCAAAGGGGGGCTGTCAGCAGCCCTCTGATAGAAAAGTCTGCCCTCCTGAGGCATGTCCCTGGACAGATGTGTTTCTAGGAAATGCAAGCCCTGGGACAGGTCGTCTGAAGTGTCAGACCTGCAAGCAGACCACAAAAAGTAAGGACAGGTCCCAGAGCAGGTGGGAGCCCGCTCTCCCAGCCTCGTCCTCGGACCACAGCCCTTTGCAGGTTACCCTGGGCAAATGATGTTAGCGATTGCCACCATAGATGATAACAGCCTGGGAAGTTCTGGATGGGTATTGGAAGGCCAAGGCAAGTTCTGGGGACCTAGTTGCCCAGATAGTAGATGTATTGAATCTTTAAGTGTTCCAGGGAGCTACCTTGGAACTGCTTTAAATCCAAGGGCACCCTCAACCTGGGCTTTCATATTCGCTCATGCAGAAAGATAGCACAGTGTAGTTGGGTCGAGGAGGGGCTCGCTCAGCAATTCCCTGTGTCTGCAAACAGAGGGGATCGTGCTGGGGTGGGCGGTGGGAGGTACACCAACCCTTCCCCCCCCCCAACACTTTGGTTTTAAGGATGAGATGTCATACCTCAACAAAAGCAGCCATGGGTGCTGTTAGCTGGCTGTGTGTTGGGACCTTACCTGTCACCTGGAACCACCCCTCAATCCCATAAGTGGTACTCACAGGGCAAACGGTCTTCCACTTTGTAGGGGTCAGCCTCAGCTTTGAGTTCTGGTCCCGCCTTTGGAGGTCAAGCAAAGGGGAGTAGGGGAGGCTCACAGCCAGGAGAGGCTTGACCCAGGGCTGCCACTGTCTTCTGCTCCAGCTCAGTGTTCTGGGAAAGGTGTCCTGCCACCAGTGACACCAGTGCCATCCACAGCCAGAGGGAGCGTGATGAAAGTGGGGAGATATGGGAAGCCATGCAGCCAGAGGGGAGAGAGAATTGGGCTGACTTGCTTGGCATTGGTCAGCAGTGCACCCTGGGTAGGACCCACAGCCATAATGATCAACCATGCCAGTATGACTCGCCCAGCACTCTGTCCTGGCTTCCCCAGGAGAAGCTGTCAGTTCCCTGAGGATGCTAGCTCAGGCTCATAGCCTTTTCTGGTTCTTCCTGCTCCGTGTCCCCTCCCTGCTCCACACACTGCCACCTCGAGAGAGCCTCCATCCCAGAGACTACCTCTGAGGCCTTGTCCCACCATCTGACCTTTGAACTCCATCAAAAAGTTGTCACCTGACCCAGGCGTCTGACCCAAGGAATGTGACTTAGGCACACTGCAGGAAGGTGGGGGCTTGTCATGGTTGGGCATCTCGGCTGGGTAAGGGATGGCCCTGCATCCGTCTGCCAGTGCAGAACAGAACAGTGCTTGCTCCAAGGTGTTGATGTAATTTTTAAGCTGTTTTATTGTACTCTATTCCCTCTACCTTCCTTCCGGTCCTTATTCCACCCTGATCCCTTCCATCCCCCAACACAAGGTAGGAGAGAAAAGGTTAGAGGGGAAAGGGGTATAGACCTCTCTCAGCCAACTATTTCCTGCTAATGAGGGGTGTGGGGTTCCTTGGGGCAAGTCCAATCATCGTCAGAATATCCAGCAAACAGGCAGCCGTCACCACAGGCCCTCTGGGGTGCTGTCTCCAGAGTTCCCAGAATTAAACTATCTGTTGCTAGCAAAAATCACCCCCCCCAGCATGAGATAATCATATTTAAGAGCTATGGACAGACAGAGTAAAGCAGCCCCATCCCCCACATCTGGGATTAAAACAAAAACATACTCATATAACATAACCAGGCTTTAAAAGAAGCCAAGCCTCAGTACACCAGGGATAGTAAGGGATCGTTGATCCTGAGCCAAGTATGTCTGGTCATGGCCCAGGAACGTGGATTGGGTTTGCTCTGAAGGGCATGTGCCACCTTGGAAGCGGTTGTGTGAATAGCCACAGTCTCTCCTCCGATGCTATCAGTGACATCGCTAGAAGCCACAAGTATGGTAAGTCAACACTTGGAAAAGTTTTTGGTAATAGGCGGAGAGGTGAGGTGTTGAGTCAGATTCTGAGAGCGCTAAAGATAAGGTCAGGATAGTTTGGGCTCTCTATCCACTTTCAAAATCTTCAGCATAGATAATAGCTTGCTCAGAACATTGGTTAACCGGTAAGCTTCCCTTCTGGATGAGGCTGGGCTCTGGATTGGAGCACTGAGTGGAACAAATTACCCCCACCCCCAGTGTGGGCAGAGGCTCCCTGAGAGGGATGTCTGTGTCACCACATTGTGGGTATATTGTGCTGGGCTCATGGGTCTGGGTGGTGTTGGGGTTGCACTACGTTAGAGTTGAAACCTAGGTCTTTTGACATTACTGTTGTCCAGAGAACCATGATGGATCCGGGGCTCTGCCCCTCCTTTAGTCAAGGGCCTCCTGACCAGCCATGGTCTTCCCTGACACTGCCCTGCCCAGTTTTTCCATTGAGTGCCTCACAGTGTTGTATGTAGGGGTACCACATATGGATGGTGTCTGCATGGCTGTTCAGTTGCCACCAAGGGCTCCATGTGGACAGTCTATATCTGCCCTTTAGCAATGATAACACCAAGAATTTATCTCAAGCCTTCTAGACTGCTTATAAGGAAAACACCTCTGTTTTGGTTTTTTAAGACAGGGTTTCTCTGTGTAGCCCTGGGCTGCACTAGGACTTGCTCTGTAGACCAGGCTGGCCTTGAATGCACAGAGATCCACCTGCCTCTGCCCCCAGGGTGCTAAGATTAAAGGCGTGTGCCACCGCTGAGGGGGTGAAAACCCCTCTTTGTGTGTGTTTTCTTTTGTTTTCTGTGCTCTTTGTCCTGTGCTTGGGTTCCCTAACCCCTACCCTGGCCTTGCCACCCTGCTGATCCAGATCTGTGATGGGTTTGACAGCCCTGGCTCTGCAAATCATTAGGGGTTCCTCTTTGTAGGAGGCCAGTGAGCTCTGGCTTCGTACAGTCTGGGCAGGACCATCCAGTGTTTGCGTTGCCCTGTCCATGTAAACAGCGTGGATGGTAACCACTTCACACCGTGGACACAGATAAAGGCCAGGGAGCTGCAGCTCACGTGAACGTTATGAGAACACCATATACTGTGATTTCCAGAATCTTACATCGTGTCTACAAACCAGTTAAATGGATCAAGTTTGTTTGTATTGTTGTTGTATCCCTAGTGGTGAGCTGATCCTATGGTCTTTTTCCTTTGCCAAACAGTTTTTCTTTTTCTTTTTCTTTTTTTTTTTTTTCGAGACAAGGTTTCTCTATGCAGCCCTGGCTGTCCTGGAACTCACTCTGTAGACCAGGCTGGCCTCGAACTCAGAAATCCGCCTGCCTCTGCCTCCCAAGTGCTGGGATTAAAGGCGTGCGCCACCACCGCCCGGCTGCTAAACAGTTTTTCATCGAAACTGAGTATCGACGCCACAGAGCTCACTCACAACGCGGACAAGTTTATGTATATAAACCCCCCATCTTTCTGTTGGCGCCTGCGTAATACCTAGATCTGTGTTTACCTCTCGAGCAAGGGGTGTGGCTTGCCTCTCTAGGCCCCTCCCACTCCCCATTCTTCTGCCTGCTGCGTTCCATTGTCCGGGATGTCAATCCCAGTGATTGCTTTTTTTCTTTTTACAGTGCGTACAGATGTTAAGCATTAAGTATGCGTTATACCGGTTTCATTGCTGTTTTATTTATGTCAGGAAATATATCACAAAAACTTGTCCTTCCAGGTAAGAGGTGACTTCACATTTTTTTTTGCAGTGTGTAGCCTACTCCACAAACACACAGTTCCTGCCTGATTTTCTTGGTCATGGGGTTCCATTTGTGCTTTCTGCTCTGTGTGTGTGCGTGCGCGCGCGCGTGCGCATGTATGCGTGTGCATATGACATGGTGATCAGAAGACAACTTTTAGGGAGTCAGTCCTTTCTTCCCTTCATGGATTTCAGGGATCAAACCCAGGCTGTCAGGTTTGTGGGGCAAACACCTTTACTTGTTAGGCCATTTCATGGTTCTTTTGCTGAGCATCTGTGGGTGTATGTGCTCTGGGAGGACCTGGATCTGTAAATGGCCAGAAATTTACCTGTCTTCTTCACCAGTGCCTGCAGGGCATCGGATCATGGGTCACCCTTACTCCAGGTAGGTATTGCACTGGTAGCAACTCCACTCTTATTTGGGACCTCTGGTGGCATGGCCATTGTCACTTCAAATGTACCCTCTGTGACCCTGGCTGCTTCCTGTCCTTCTAGGCTGGCTTCTCTTGCTAGAGAAATTCTGTCATCGAGTTTCCTTTCATCCTTGCACCCTTTTGCAGGCAGCTCCACCCGCAGCTGTGTGCAGCTCTCTCCTTGCTAGAAGCTTCTACTGGGCAGTTACTCTCAGGCGCTCTGAGATCTTCTTCTCCATCGCTTGTGTTGAAAACTCCGATGGAGTCCTTCGTTTCCTCTAGATGCGCAGT